ACCCATAGCCCCATGTACCTCCATATACCCATACATATCCCCATAGACCCATACCTATACCCATAGCCCCATGTACCTCCATATACCCATATATATCCCCATAGACCCATACCTATACCCATAGCCCCATGTACCTCCATATACCCATATATATCCCCATAGACCCATACCTATACCCATAGCCCCATGTACCTCCATATACCCATACATATCCCCATAGACCCATACCTATACCCATAGCCCCATGTACCTCCATATACCCATATATATCCCCATAGACCCATACCTATACCCATAGCCCCATGTACCTCCATATACCCATACATATCCCCATAGACCCATACCTATACCCATAGCCCCATGTACCTCCACGTGCCCCCCATGTACCCCCCAAGTGTCGCCGCCGCTCCCGGGTCCCCCCGCCCGTTCAGCACCGCGGACAGCGGCCGCCGCCCCACCGATGGAGGGGGGGGGGTCCGGCTATAGCGCGGTCACGTGGGTCCCGCCGCCGCCCCTATATAGCGCGGTGCCGGGCGGGCAGCGAGGAGCGGAGCGGAGCCGGGGGGAGCGGCGGCAGCGGTGAGCACCCCCCATTGTCCCCATTGTCCCCATTGTCCCCATTGCCCCCATTGCACCCCATTGTCCCCATTGTCCCCATTGCACCCCATTGTCCCCATTGCACCCCATTGCACTCCATTGCCCCCATTGCACCCCATTGCCCCCCATTGTCCCCATTGTCCCCATTGCCCCCGTTGTCCCCATTGCCCCCCATTGTCCCCATTGCCCCCATTGCACCCCATTGCCCCCATTGCACCCCATTGTCCTCATTGCACCCCATTGTCCCCTTTGCCCCCATTGCACCCCATTGTCCCCATTGCCCCCATTGCACCCCATTGTCCCCATTGCCCCCCATTGTCCCCATTGTCCCCATTGCCCCCGTTGTCCCCATTGCCCCCCATTGTCCCCATTGCCCCCATTGCCCCCCATTGCCCCCATTGCACCCCATTGTCCCCATTGCACCCCATTGTCCCCATTGCCCCCATTGCCCCCGTTGTCCCCATTGCCCCCCATTGTCCCCATTGCCCCCATTGCACCCCATTGCCCCCATTGCCCCCGTTGTCCCCATTGCCCCCCATTGTCCCCATTGCCCCTATTGCACCCCATTGCACCCCATTGCCCCCGTTGTCCCCATTGCCCCCACTGTCCCCATTGCACCCCATTGTGCCCATTGTCCCCATTGTCCCCATTGCCCCCATTGCCCCCATTGCATCCCACTGCACCCCATTGTCCCCATTGCACCCCATTGCACCCCATTGTCCCCATTGCACCCCATTGCCCCTATTGCACCCCGTTGTCCTTCATTGCCCCCATTGCCCCTCATTGCCTCCCATTGCCCCAGCGGGGGACAGCACCGAGGGTCCAGTCCCGGGGAGATGAGAAGGGTCCCATGTCCCCGGGGGTTGGGGATTCCCATTCACAGGGGTCTTGGGTCCCAAATCCCGGGGGTCCAGGGTTCCATGGGGGTCCCGTCCCCGGGCGGGGAGGGAAAACAACCCCAGGAGCAAGGGGGTCCCATCCGCGGGGAGGGGGGGGTCCTGTCCAAAAGGGGGTCCCTATATAGGGGTGGGGATCCCATCCCAGGGGTCTCATCCCTAGGGTGAGGTGTTCCCCCCTCCCACGGCGTGAAGCCTCCCGGCTGCCCCCTGACCGCAGCCGTGGGGGGGATGTGGGGGTCCGGGTTAGGGGGGCTCTTACAGGCGTCCGGCCCCAGAGCGGCAGCGATGCGGGTCAGGATGCTCTCAGCCGCCTCCGTCCTCGTCCTGCTCTTCCTGCCCTCGGAGACCTGCTCCCCCCTGCAGCGGCCGTGGGGCCCGGCCCCCCAGCCCACCTGGGAGCCATGGCCCGGACCCCCGCGCCCCACCGCGTCCCCGCTGCCCCATAGACTGTGCCAGCGGCGGGGGGGCGAGCCCAGCGCGAAGCCCCGAGCCCCGCGGGCCCCGCAGCAGGGTGGCCGGAGGCGGGACAGCAAACCCAGCTCGCTGGACCTCACCTTCCACCTCCTGCGCCAGTTCCTGGCCATGTCCCGAGAGGAGAGGCTGGCGCAGAAGGCGCTCAGCAACAAGCTCCTGCTGCAGAGCATCGGGAAGTGAGCGGGGACCGGCCCCGGAGGAGCGGGGAAGGGGCTGGTACCGCTGATGCCGCCGGTGCCGCTGATGCTGCTGGTACCGCTGATGTCGCTGGTGCCGCTGGTACCACTGATGCCGCTGATGCTGCTGGTGCCACTGGTACCGCTGGTACCGCTGGTGCCGCTGGTGCCGCTGGTGCCGCTGGTGCCGCTGGTACCGCTGATGCCGCTGATGCTCCTGGTGCCACTGGTACCGCTGGTGCCACTGGTGCCGCTGGTGCCGCTGGTGCCGCTGGTGCCGCTGGTACCGCTGATGCCGCTGATGCTCCTGGTGCCGCTGGTGCCGCTGGTGCCGCTGGTGCCGCTGGTACCGCTGATGCCGCTGATGCTGCTGGTGCCACTGATGCCGCTGGTGCCACTGGCACCGCTGGTGCCGATGATGCCGCCGGTGCCGCTGATGCCGGGTCCCGTCGCTGCGCCCCGTGCGTTGTTCGCGCTGTTGTGCATTAAAGTCGCCCTCGCACCTGCCCCGCTGCCCCTGTGCTCGGCGCTTCCCCTTTCCAGGCAGGGGTCCCTGATGCGGAGCCCGCTGCATCCCGCCCCCTTGGCAGGAGCGGCGGGGCTTGGGAATGCTCTGACACGGAGGTCGGGTACCGAGCATCCATCCGGTCACCAAGGGGCGCGGCTCGGTGCCTCCCGTCACTCATGGACACGAAGCGGAGCGATCCCAGATGCATCCCTGGGTGAGAAGTGACAGCGCAAAGCGCTCTGAGCGCTGCAGCCCGGGGCTCTCCGTCTGCAGCCATGGGGACACACAGACACACGTGTACATGCAGGTGGAAACCCATGGTCTGCAGCCATGGGGACACACAGACACACGTGTACATGCAGGTGGAAACCCACCATCAACCGCACAGCGAGAAGCGAGGTGGCACAAGCAGCTCCCAGCACCAGGATGGGGCAGCGCATGCAGTAAAAGGGGCTTGGGACAGGTCTGGAGCTGGTTGGGATGCCGCAGTGGTGGTTGTGTCCCAGCACAGCCTGTGAGGGAGCAGCGTCACCATGAGCCCGTCACCATCACCCACGAGTGATCACCGTCACCCATGCAGCCGCACAGCAGCATCCCACAGGGACCAGAAGGTCCCTCATCCTCCTCATCCTCCCTTCAGGGCTGCACTAAGCAGCAGCTCCGGTGCTGAAACACCCCAAAGAGAAGCCCTGGTGCTCTCAGCCCCAGTTTGAGCTCTGCAGCTTGATGGCTGCACAGGACAAAGCTGCTCCTCGCTTGCGGGCTGGTTGGTGGTGGGAAGCTGCATCCTCCCGTGGTGAGGAAGAGGAGGTCGGTGCGGGAGCTGCGGAGCTGCAGACAGGGAGCAGGGGTTTGTTAAAGCAGAGGCAATGGCCCCAGCCTGAGCAGCTCGGGAGCACCTTTAACCCTCACTGGGAAGCCTGGGACCCGGTCAGGAGGAGGATGAAGGAGGAGAAAGGGACTCGGGTGCGGGACAGGCGGGCGTTGGGGTCCATCCATGGGGGCCATAGGGGATGTTTCCCTCTGCCCCCCCCCAGCTTCTACAAACGGGCTCAATCCAGGCCCCAGGCTGGGACCTGCACCCTGAGACCCGGCTGGGGCTTCTCCTCCTCCAGTGCTGCTGTGGGTGACCCCGAGAGCCGCCGCTCCCCGGCGCCGCAGGGAGTCTGTGCCTCCAAGTGCCACGGTGGGGAACAGGGGGCAATGGAACCAGGTCGGAGCAAGCTGCTCCAGTGGAAGGGGTCCCTGCCCTGGCAGGGGTTGGAGCTGGAGGAGCTTTAAGGTCCCTTCAACCCAAACCAGGCCGGGGTTCTATGAAACCAGAGCATCAGTGTCAGACCTTTCCCAAGCGTGCATCAGCCCCCAGAGGGGTCCTGGCCTCCTTGGGAAGGCTCCGAGGCACAGCCCATTGTGGGAAGGAGGGAAAGCGTTGGGTAACCCATAGCAGGGCATGGGATGAGGGGAGTTCTGTGCTCACCTCCTTCCACCGGGATCTCCATCCAACGTGAATGAGCCTCTGCAGGAGGAATGATTCCAGCCATGGAGGGCAATAGAAGCCACTGGTGGCCCCATGCAGTTCGTCCCCATGCACTCTGATTTACGCTGCCTCAGTCAGATACAAACCTCTCAGCATCCTCTTTGTTCCCACCTCTCCCTCAGCAGCACCAGAAGGAGCCTCCAACAGCGGGAGCTGCTTCCCAAGAGGTGTTACACAGCCCACAGACTGCAACCACCCCCTTCCCCAGCACCCTCCAACCATCCCTCACCCCTACAACTCATATTGACACCCCAATCCCTGCCATTGCCCAGCATCCTATGAAGCCCTTTGACCACTGATGCTCCAGAACTGCCATGGAGGGTGCAAGCAGAGGCAGAAGGAAGGAGATGCAGGCCCAACCAGGGGGACTTCACATCCTCAGCACGCAGAGAGCCAAGGAGCATCCTTGGACCACAGGAACCAGGGGATCCCTCTGCATCCCTCCTCCCTGCCCCAGGGAAGAAAAAGGCCGCTGCTCGTTTCTGCCTTGAAAACATTTATTTTACAACAGTGGTTTCAGATAACTTAGCAATCTTTATTTGAGTTCTATTCGGACATACGAGACACGAATTACCATGCTAGAACAGAAAACACCTCCTCCTCCTCCTCTCCTCCCGGCGGGGATGTACAGGAGCTCAGTAGTATCGAGTGTTACAACCCACAGAGGTTCAGACAGCCACAGCTACTTACATACAAGTCAAAGTATGGTCCTTTAGTAACATAACAAAATATATATATGTCTATATTATAATTGCTTTGTCAGATGCATTTATAACTTCGATTGTGGGGTGGGGGGGGTTATTTCTACAGGCTTTTCTCTCGGTTAGAGACGGGCTCCCCCCATCCCAGAGGTGAAGAGCAACCGCAGAGCGTGTCCTCGGCATCCTGCAGAGGCCAACCCAACCGGACCATGAGGAGCGAGGGACTGCAGGGCCTTGTCACATGCAGGATGAACACAAACGTCCCGTGATGGCACGGACCAGACATCAGCATCCACACCAAGGTGATGGTGGGAAGGGTGGGGGGGGGTGATGGTGATGGGAGGATGATGGTGATGGGAGGATGATGGTGATGGGAGGCTCCATCTGTGACGGACACACAGAGAGCTTCAAACGTGGCAGCAATAAAGGAATCGCCCCCAGACATTCCCCTGTTTCTGCCAGGATGCAGAATCCCCCCTTGTTTCATCCGCCAGCCCCGAAATGGGAGGCCCAAGGATGCGGCTCAACCCACTGCAATGAGCGACCTGGTGCCTTTACACACAGATCTCTGCCTAACTTCACCTTTACAACTTGTAGTAACTCCAGGTCCTCCTGACCCCAACCTGCAAGAGCGGCTGGACCAGGCAGTGCAAACACACCACGCTGCTCAGCACCACCTCCATTCAGTAAGGAGGGAACAGACAACTGCATCCCCTTTCCAAACCACAGCTCTCCCCCTGCGCTACCCCTCTACACAAGAGGATCCCTCCGCTGCTTCCTTCACTGGTTTAACCCAACAGATCTCGCCTGGTTTCATCCTGCAGCTGAGAGCAGAAAGCACCATTCTGCACAGACAAAGCTTCCCCTTGTCCCACCAGGAGCTCACAGCACGGCTCAGAGCTGGAATCCATGGATTTACCACCAAAGGAAACCAGCAGCAAGCACCAAGTGCACCCACTGTGTTACTATATACATCTGGGCATATATACATACATACACACACGATGTTCGACCCAAAGCCCCCAGCACAGGTTGGGACCTTGCTCTGGAGCTTGGTACTCTGTTGGAGAGTACAACACGGTGCAAACTAGGAGGCAAAACCCCCAAGTCACCATGTTCTAGCCCACCTCCAGCCGGGAGCACATCGAGCGCATCCTCAACACAAGTCCAAGTCATTCCAGAGCTGGTCCCTGCCCTCTGCTGGGCTCCCATCCCAAGGGAAGCTGGAGCAGAGGGGCAGCTCACAGAGTTCAAGTAGATCGTTCCCATTTGGAAGGGGGTGAGAAGCAAACGCTACAGACTGGCAGAGAAGGGAGCAGAGAACACGACAGCACTCGAGGACAAATGGCCATTTCATAGAAGAGCTTCCTCTACACATATACATATATATATATATATATATATATATAACTACCAGAAACTCCCAGTATCGACCCTTTTAACACCATGCATGGAACACTGGCATTTGATTTCCCAATGAAGGCTTTGTCTTCCGGGTTTGGCTTGTGCACAGGTCACAGAGCACTTCCCTTGCGTGGCTTCTTCTCCTAAAGGAAGCATCTTCTTGGAAGGAGAGGGGAATTTCCCTCTTGCCGAGTCCCAGGTAACACTTCATCCTCATGGAGCAGCACTTGAACACTGATCAGCATCCTGACGCCGTGTTAGCTATCAGTTAATGTCCCTTTCAAGCTATTTGAAGCAGCTGTTGGAGTGATGATATGTTAGAAACTAGATGATTTCCACTATAAGACAGAGAAGCAGCATCAGATGATGAAGCACGTTAAGTTCAAACTGACCTCAGGCTGAACACTTGCTCTGGGGGGGTTACATTTCAGTGCTCTAAGATTAACACATGTTTAAGCAGCATCCAGGATTCAGAACATGAGGTTGGGGCTCCAAAAACCCAGGCAGGAGTCTCCTGGTTGAATGTGACAGCAACATCCAACCTGCACGGGGTACAAATAAACCTGCAGCACAAATCCATTTCCAAGGGATTATCCAGGAATATCCAAAGGGCAGTGGCAAACACAGGGCACAGAGTAGCTGAGAAAAGCCTCTCCTAAAGAAGAATGTGCATAGAAACGCTCTGCTACAACCCCCCAAAGCTCACTGGGGTCCCTCCAACACAACCCCTTTACGGATGGGACAGGAATAGCTGCTCCATTCGGCTCCTACAGCATTTAGATGACACAAAGGGGGTTGAAGACTCTATTGCTGCAGGACTTGGGGGTCCCCTGAGCCTTCGTCCTCAGGCTCTGCTCCCCCAGCCTCAAAGAGCATCACGTTTGAAGCACTAATATCTAAAGCAGTTTAAAGAAATATGACCACTAAAAAGAAGACTCAAAAGGTGACGTGGCTCTAACACATCTCTGCGTGGAATCTACACCCTACAGACGCCACTGAGGTTGGCATGGATTTATATACAGATAAATACATCCGAATCTCCTACAGACATGACTAACTAAACAAAACTGGCGTTTAAGGGCTGCAATGCCCCTTCATTCACTTCAAGTGAAGCGGACACGTGAGGATGAGGATGGCACAGCAGGTCCAGCATCACCTCCTGAAGCAGGAGGGGCGGCACCTGAGCACCCTGCAGTGAGGCAGCCCCTTTTCCTGCTCACCCTAAGCTATGGATGGCTCTTCACACAACACAGCTGGGGAATAACATCAGTGGTCCTTAACACCAGCCAGCAGAAGCTCGCCAGATCAGGCTCACTCCTACAAGCACTGGGAAACTGGGGCTGAAGAGGTTCCATGAGCTGGATGGAGGCGGCTGAGCTACGGCAGCGCAGGTCTCAGGTGACTCGTAAAACACGATATAAAACACACGATCCAACCCTGGAGAAACAAAAAAGACCCCAACCCAGGCATCAAAGCCCAAGGTTTAGTTGTGGCAACACTGAGCAGAGATCAGCAGAGCTCAGGTTCGGGTGGGAGGACACATTCTGCAGGCAAGCTAGGTCACGGGATGCTGCAGCTCTGGGGATGCTCCATCTGCTCCAGCTCTGAACTGCAGGTGAGCTCCTGCACCAGGCTTTCGACCATCATTCCCATCACAACCTTGCATTTACTAGGGTTCACCTTGGCCATTCTGAAGTGCAGCTGAGGTTAGAGCCCGGGATGCTCTTGTACCTCACCTACAAGAGCAGAAGAGTGGGCATTACCCCATTCACACATCATTTTTGTTTTAAAGAGCTTTCTAGCATCACTCAAGAACTACATTACTACACAATAATCTTAAATTCAGAGATTACAGATGAACATGGGCAAACTTAAAACTGTTTCAACCCCATGAATATTCATTGAGAACCATCATTCCCTGTAACTGGAATCTCGGAGTAGTTTCTCTTGGAGCGTCTCCCATCACTCTGGCATGTATCAGCACTCAGACTCATTTACCATTCACCCACAGACACAACTGACAGGAAAGCTGCCTCTCAGACTCATGCTGTGCTAAGCCAAGAACTAAACCAATGCATTTATCCTGGATTTATCCCTCCCAGAGCAGTACAAAACACACGTTGCCTCTAATCCTCATCTGCTGCCTGTGTTTCGGTCCTGATGTCCCACTGTACCTTCCACCAGCCTCTCCAGAACAGTGCAAGTGGCTCAGAGGGGCTAAGAAACAACAGGATTACTCCAAATGAACACCAACAACCAGCCCCCAGCACCAGGGGCTGCACCACAGCGGAGCAACAATGGGAACAAGGGGCTTTTGTGGGGCCACGGGGCATAACAAACTACAGCAGGCAGGAAAACAGCCTCTACCGAGTCACTCTGAGCAACTGTGCTCATTTACAAAGGCAAAACCCCCCCAAACACTTCATCTCTTTTTAACCAAGCACATAGTTTGCACAGATAAAGGCAATTTTAACCAGTGAGTGTTCAGGGGACAAAGCCTGCAGATATTCAAGCATATTCCAGCGTGCAAGTCAACAGCAAGAACAGGCTCAGGCAGAATCAACAAGGACAGCCAAAGGGACACCAGGTTTTTGAAGCCTCAACATCACTTTTCATTCCAAGGGGTCAAACAAAGACTTGAATTAAATAAGGACCTCAAACCACATCAGCCACAACTGTCCTTTCTAAAGGAGTTTTCCAGACAGAGAAAGCATCTTCCAAGTAACATTTCCTTCTGAACACTGGGACCTGATGTGGTATCAAAAGCATGCAACAAGCTCACGTGCAGGCAACAAACATGTGCTTGTACCAACAGCTACAGCAAAGCCTGATTCTGCAAGCATCCCTCACTCAGCATCTTGTGAAGAACATTTTCTTCTACCCAGCCGTGTTTAACATGGTCTCATGGCAGGTTTTACATGCTCCATTATCTTCAGAACATGCAAAGAGGGTGTGAAAATACATCCCCTTCCTTGTCTGGTGGTTTTCCTACTCTCAACAGAGGTGAAAAATGAGAAGGGGAGATGAAGGATACAAAGGACAGGAGACACACTGTGATATAAACCCATGAAGATGGAAATGAAGAGGCTGGGATCAACCACTCCACGTGCCAAGTGGAGGCTCTCTGGGAGCTGTTCCAGACCCCAACTCTGCCTCATCCAAAGCAGGATTATGAACAACAGAAACAGACCAGCCATTCAGGAGCTGCCTCAAACGCCCTCTTAGCGGTTCAATCGCAACACCCCACAGTTTCTAGAGCAGTATTCAAGCATCATCTGGTAGAGGGAACCTTTCAATGGTTTCCCCATAGCTGTTCTGAGGAACAGAAGAACACTGTGTAAACAAATGGAGACACGAGACAATGTGCAAATCATACAATACAAACACAAAGTGGTTTTGCGCTTAAAAACCCATTTCAGTGATCCACCAAGGTGCTCATGAGAAAATTAAAGGGCTGGTGTTGTTATAAAAGCTTTAAAATGACACATAATGTCCCATTTGGCTTAAAATCTCCAATTCTTAGGACAAATCACTAAACCCCCCCCCATGTTTTAAAACATTTAAGCTGTTACCTACTGTCTGCATCTCACTCAGTGCAAACCAGTTCACCAGTTGGCTTTAAGATTCTCATGCACTCCAGAAGAAGCTGCACTATTTGGTCTTCAGCATTCCAACAAAAGACTGAACTCAAAGCAGAACTGACTTGTGCTTGAGGTGCAAGTCCCACCGCCGCCACTCCAGGAGCCCGATCCCAGTTGGGGTTGTGGCAAACTGGAGTTTGGGGGTACACCGTCACTGGAGGCCGCCTCGCACGTACAGAGCTGCTCATCAGTGTATGGGCCACAGACTGGAAACTCTCCCCTTTTCATGTTTCAAGGTAGGTTTATTTAAGCTGAGAACCAGCATTAGAGTGAGCTCCAGCTCTGCAGGACTGGCAAGTTTTGGTGCTTGGCTTTGTAAACGTGCTTAGGGAACAACGCAGGAATGGAAGGAGGAATAAAAGAATTGGCTTGTTGCACTCAAATGAAAACCATGAGCTTTGAGAGGTCTTCGACAGCGCAGCTGTACAGAAGAGCGGTGGCTTCTGCTTAAATCTCACTTTCAGGCCAGTACCACTGCTTAAAATGCAGAATGTCTCCATCACACTTATATCGTGACAACTCAATACATTACACCACAGACATTTAACGTAACTCCATACATGCTATAAAAAAAAAAAAATGGGGAAAAAGGAAAAAAGAAAGAAAGAAAGGAAACCAGTAAGACCGTAGCTAAACTGCTTTAAATACTGCATGCTACAGCACTCCACGTGTCATCCAGATACGACACTGAAAGGTGACAAAAGGCTGAAGGGATTACAAAATCTTGTCGGCAGGTTGGAAAGCTGCCTTCTTACTGTGGCAGAATTATTCCCCCTCCCCATTCTCTACTTCTAATGTTCATGATTCTAGTGTTGAGTTGGCCATGTATATATATATATATATATTTTCTTTTTTTTTTAATCCATTCTAATTACAGGGTTTCCTTAACTTAATTAAATCCATCGGTGTGGTAGCTGGGGTGAGAGTCAGCTGTGAGCTGGGTTGTCTCTGTGGCTGATGCTGGCTGTATCACAATAGGTGCGTCTGAGGCCTCTGCAAAGTGAAGGCAAAAGGTTTAAGCACACCAAGGGGATGAAAACAGCATCACTATGCTTTGGTAAGTGAAAGATACATCTCCCTGCAACACGCTGATAACACAATTTTACACTCCTTTAGGACCATGATGGTAATTTGGATACCATTCAACTCGAGTCTACATGTGAAACAACTTATTATATGTCCCTGTTCATGTAAGAGCAGCTGATTTTCACCCACCCTTCAGCTATGCCCCTTAGAAACATGACCAGAGCATACACAAGACTCCACGATTGCTTTAATGATCAGTTTAATTTGACAGAAATAGCATTATCTCTTCATAAGCTACATCAGCTCTATTACCAGGGTAGCAGTCTCACTTCCTTCACTCCTGACGCAGTTAATGCTGCCTTGACACCACCCTCATCCTTTGGGGTAAAAGCCCCTTTTTACAGTCACACCAGTCTGGCTGGGATGTGACTCTTGCAACATGAGAAGGTGGCGGAATGCTGGTCACCTCCTGCTCTGGAGCTGACCCCACCACGTCAGTGAAGACCTTTGAGTTTTCAGCACCTCTGTCTCTGGTGTTAGGGTTATGCACGTAACTCTTGTGCCACGAGTACTCCCTGATCATCATAAAATGGTTTGGGTTGGAAGGGACCTCAAAGCTCATCCAGCTCTGACCCCTGCCGCAGGCAGGGACCCCTTCCACTGGAGCAGCTTGCTCCAAGCCCCTGTGTCCAACCTGGCCTTGAGCACTGCCAGGGATGGGGCAGCCACAGCTTCTCTGGGCACCCTGTGCCAGCACCTCAGCACCCTCACAGGGAAGAGCTTCTGCCTCAGAGCTCATCTCAGTCTCCCCTCTGTTAGGGAGGGGAGTCACGCCAGAGCTGAGCAGAGGGGGAGAAAACCTACATCTACAATCACCTGCAATCCAAGGCCTGTGCTGATCTCTACTGAGCAACCACTGCTCCTCAAGCAGTGCAATAAGCACCAATGGCCGTTTGACGTCTCGCAGCGGTTTCACCTACCCCTTTCATCTGACTGCAACTGTGCCTCCAAGTCCTCTGGAGAGACGTAGTATTCCTGCTCTTCACCTTCAGGAGGTTTAGGTTTACACTTCCCGCAGCAACAATTACAGCAGCAGCACAGACAGCAACAGCAATAGCAGCCTGTGATGAGGCCGCAGAACACGAACAAGGCCTGCAGAGGACAGGAGACAGAGAAACATCCATAACCATTGCAACCACCAAGCCCGTGAGACTCACATGGAAAGCAGAGACCAAATTCGGTCATGTAGAGACAGAACTTCGTAGCCAGAGTTTTATACTCCATCAACAATATACATATATACAAAAGTAAGTGCAAAACTGGCCACAGCTCTCAACATTTTACACCAAGGTGAACACTGCTCATCTGGCTTACTTGAATTCCTATAATTTAGGTTTAAATGGCCTATTCTGCTATATCTGGAAGAAGATACAGGGCTAAGAAGTGTATCTGTATTAAAATCCAGAGGTACAACAGCTTAGGACAGATTGTAGCTTGCATAAGTGACCCTGGGCAAGATTTACACTCGGTAGTTGACGCACAAGCCATGATGTACCTACACAGGGTCTTCAACCTGCCCAAGGCTGCAGGCAAAGCTGCAGAGCTCCCTGTAACTCAATGTGGGACACGGAGGTGAGATGCTACCGAAAAAACACTTTAAAGATAGCAAACCAGCACGATGATGCAACTTACTGCAGCAGACTCGAGCTGGAGACAATGCTGGCAAGAGGTAGGAAATGAAGCCAGCAAATGAAATGCCAAGTACTGGCAGAAGACTCCTAGAAGGCATCTCTACAACAACTGTAACATCTACTCCAGGCACACAATGCTTTCAAACAGATTTTTGTGTGCATTTATGAGGAAACTTGAGCTTAAAGCATAGTTTTGGTATATTGGTGCTACTCCTGCTGCTGAGGGATGGGCAAGTGAGCAAATAACCTGCAGCCTCTCAAATCAGAGAGGAGCTGAAGTGGTATATGTTCACAGAACCCCCTGAGTAAGCCTGTAAGCACCCTTCTGACAGACCTTCCTGCATGAGAGTTTTAAATGCCAACCCAGAACAACTTCCTTTGCACTCTCACTTACCTTTGCCCACCAGCTGGACAGCACGAAGTATGTGTTCACATTTTCTTCACCAAACTGCTCTGCTACATAGAGACCCAGAGACCCATACTTATCATAGATGTTCCGCTTGGTGGCATCCGTCAGGATGGCGTGTGCGTTATTGATCTCTTTAAACTTCTCTGCTGCCTCGGGGTTATCAGGGTTTTTATCAGGATGATATTTCAACGCCAGTTTCCTGCAGAAAACAGAAAGAGATTTCTTTTTATAGATGAAAAACTGGGATTTGGGGTCCTGGGGTCTGATATTTATTTATTTCGTTCCACAGCCTGTCACTCAAGGCAGACTTTCAAGTGCCAGTTGGTTTTCTTCATCTGTGAGGATTCTTCCTTAGATAACAACAAAAGGCTGCAGCAGTGTCCAGCTTAGTTCACAGGACTGACTTCAGACTGTTGGATTCAGCCCTCAGAAATCCAATGGAATAAAGAGACATTGAAGAAAAGGAGTCCTTTTGGGGGGGGGGGTTCACCCCTCAGCTCCAGCAATTTCCACCAGTAAGTTTTGCTCTTGCTAAAGCAAAGACCAAGCCAACAGCAAAAAGAGAGCATAAATCTAAGATATAGTACAAAAGGCTAAATAAAAGCAAGCTGCCACAGGTGATCTGCAGTGCCTGGACACAAAAATAGAAGACAATTGCTTGTGGTTAATTTACCAATTCCTGTGCAGGAACAAAGTACTTTGCAGTTCAAGGCTTGCTAGAATAGAAACGGCTCCAGAGTTTAAAGCTATCAGGAAATCACAAGGTCCCTCCCCTAACCATGACAGATCCCTTACAACTGACAGCCCTTTACAGTCCCCAGAGGTGTCCAAATTTAGCACAAAAGAATCAGATTCAACACTGATAAATTTGCTCGTTCTGAAATGGCTCAGGCTACTTATAGAAATCAGGAGATATAACTGAGCAAACACCCCCTTACCAACAGAAAAGTGTGCTCCCAAGTAGAAAACGACATTGAATTGTATGCTAACAGTTCTCCACAAAAAAAAAGAACCCCCCCTTGAAGTCCCATATCTGAGGAGCACAGCAGAACCTGCAGAGCTTTACACAGCTTTGCAGTGGGGAGATGTTCAGACAAACATGAAGTAAGGCTGTGTGCAAGCACACATGTGGATGTGTGTGAAAGGTATCACAGCATCCAACAATAAGCTGAGCGCACACTTGAAACACTCAGCCTGTAAATGATGCTGCTCAGGGTAAATAATGCCCTGGCATAGCCTCAGTGAGGACTTCAACACTCACAGGTTTTATCAGCAGGGGGAAGTTAGATAAATCTGGACAGGGCTTTGCTACTATCAGGCTGCAATAGATAAGACATGAACACAAACCCCACAGCCCAGCAAGGGATGTTCGAGTGGAGTGAAAACAAGGGGTGGTCAGTCCTTTTGTCATGAAGCAGTGGAGGAAACAAGACTGGATGAAGGCTCAGATGGGTATGAACCAGCTTTGTTTCACCATAGGATGCAGTTGGGTTGCTCCCCTAAAGGGAAAACTTGCAGTTTTGCCCTCAGGAAGGTAAAATAATTCTCCTGTTGCTAAGGCTTGACCATTACTGATTCAAACTTCCAGTTTAGGAAGACAGAGCCCGTTTCTGAAGACCCAGTTTCTTCACAGACTTCACCATGTGGCTGCCATAAGGATTAAAACGAAACTTTGAAAGGGAAAAAGTTTTGGTGAATGTTAAAGACTAAAAGAAAACCACTCTGAAAAGGAACATCCTCATGTACAGATTACTGCTGACCCCTAGTGTAATGTTAACTACATTGCCACTTGTCAAACAGCCCACAAGACCACAGCTCATGCCTAAGGCGGGGAAGCAATTGCATCCAAGCAGGTTTTGGGAGAATGTGGAAAGGGAGATGTTGCAGGACTTTGGTTTGGTTTTGTTTGGTCAAGATCAAGCCACTTCATGTGTCTAAGAAAAGAAATAAAGACAAAATCCTCTTTTAAAGTAGTACCTCCCCATAGAATAAGAAAATTTGAATGGATTTTTAGAAGAAAAGCCACTGCTGATACCCATTGCTGATAGTTTTCATCCTTATTCACATCTTTAATCTATACCTCACTGCGCCAGAGTTGGAAGTAATGGACTAAAGGGCAGCACTGCACATCTTTAGTCCCTGTAAGCTAGGCACATAACATGAAGACTTAAACTCTGATCACACTGTCTTAAAACTCTGTTCAACTTCATCTACAGACCTTTCAGAATGATACTGCCTGCCTGAGAACTTCACTTATTAGAGATAAGATGTGACAATTTAACATTAACCACTTCTACAAATCCTAGGCATGTTTCACTCTGATTTCTGCAAGAGGAAACCATGTTTTCACCTGGGTTTCTTCCATGGTTTTCTTGCAAAAGGTGTAAATAAACCAACTCCAGCCTAGACATGAACAGGCCATCAGTTGAACACTTAAAGCTATTTGTGCTATAGAACTCACAGCTTTACCTGTATGACTTCTTGATATCATCTGAAGTGGCATTCTTGTCCAAGCCCAGCACGTGGTATAGTGATTCTCCAGAGGTAGAGAGCGAGCGTTGCCGCTGGTCTGCCATCTCGAGCTACCCTGAAGAGAGAATTGGTCCCTGCCAAAGAGCAAAGATTAAGAAATGCTTAAACAAAGAACACCATCGACCTCAGGAATCAAATCAGCCCTAAAAACAGAGTTTGGGTGTGAAAATTCGTCTTTTATAAGGTTTAAATGTGCTTGGAAAAGGTTCTTAACGTTACGTGGAAGTTGAAAAGTTACTCAGTGAATTATCAGTGAAAACAACTATTACATTTTCAGCCCAACACCAGGCACCCTGCAATCACTGATGCACGCACTCAACTCTTCTTTCCAAGAGCCCCAAATCCACAGCTGAGTATAGCTACAGATGGGTACTGCGTAACACATCCCTAAAGCTACTTCACCTTCTTTCTTAGTCTTGCTATTAAGATAATTTATTTGTGATAATACATGTAGAAACAACAACAGAGAGGATGCTATTACGATGAGGCTGCCTTTTTGCACCACGTTTGCTATGGGGTGATTTTGTTTGCATTTTCAGTTGCAGGTAATTCTCTCGCATTAAAAGAAAATCAAACCAAACCTCCCTGCCACCAGGTCAAGCAGAAACTTTTAGTCAGGGCTAGTTTGACTGGGCCTATGCATCCCACTACAAAAGAGGGATGCCTGCCCACTTCGAGAGACCTCCTGCCTCATAACTTGAAGTTTAACATGTATCCTAGTTCAACTCACACTTCCTGAGCATGGATTAACCTCCTGCTCCAAATTCAACTATGAAGGACCCCAGAGGCCTCCCCCATGCCATGCCATGGGCAGGCATGGTTATGTCCTCTAACATCCTGAGGGGATTAGCACTTGCTGTTCCTTAGCTGCAGAACTGCTGCAAGGATGAGCATCGAAGAGGAGGCTACCGGCTATTTTGGGATTATGTCATTACAGTTAGCCTACACCAGATTATGTAGCCTTTGAAAAAGATATTTAAAGCCCTGGACTTTTCCAATTTAACCCTTTATATAACAAAGTTAAGAATGTCAACTTCTAAAAGCTACCCGAAAGAAATACTCCTGGATACCCCATCTTGTTCTGCAGGGCTCCTGGAGTGACCTCACAGTGCAGATATGCTTCACAAAGCCACAGTCCTGCATCCTCCAACTCATGGTACCATCGTGGCTGTGCAAGTGTCACCACATGGCAAGGATGTGGATAGAGACATTGCAACTTCCTTTTCATCCTGTAGCCTGCTGTTAATTACTCCTCCACGTCTGGTCTCTTCAACTTGACATTAGCTCAACACTGGGTCTGCAAACTCTCATCTAATTTCCTTCCAGAAGTCTCTGGCAGCCCTGGTAAACTGAATTAAAAGCTACCTAAAAAGGAAGCTATAAATAGGTCTAAACTCTAATGTTTAGGCCAAGAATTCACAATAGACCCCAATTCTGGAAAGTGAATGTGTGGGTAGGGAGAGAAAATCTTGTCAAGGATCCTGTTCAGCTCCCAGCATCTTTCTGTACAAGAGGGAAATTACTGAGGGCTGCAAGACACAACACAACCAACTCATTTATTTGGGCACCATCCGAGCCAGTGAAAGGCAAAAAAATATTTCAGGAAAGAAATCCCACATCTGGGAATACACCAGGAACAAGCCTCCTGTTCCCATGCATGGGCTCCCAGCCCCCTCCAGCCCAAGGGAGGTCAAAGGCTGACGATCCTGACGTCCCTCTGGTAATCTGGCTAATCCCACCGGCCTGCTCCGACTGCTGCCCTGCCTCTCCTGCTCTCCCACCACACTGCTGCCTTCCAGCCCTCCTGGGGAATTCCCTTGCAGCTCCATTCCACCAGTAACCCATTGGCAGCATCCAGAGTGTGTCTATCGGCACTTTGCCAGGGACCTGTGGGATTAATCTGAAGTCGGGAGGGGGAAAAGCATCCTGGTTGGGATTCTACATGTTAACTTACTCCTTCCAAAGAAGGTATTGCTTCAAACTGGAGCATCAAGAGCATTTTGAACATCTGTGCTGTTTAAAAGTCTGCAGCTCCATCCCTGGCAGTGCTCAAGACCAGATATAAGGTTAGATATAAGGAAGAAGTTCTTTACCGTGAGGGTGCTGAGGCAATGGCACAGTTTGGCCAAAGAAGTGGTAAATTCTCCATCCCTGGCAGCGTTCAAGGCCAGGCTGGATGGGGCTTGGAGCAAGCTGCTCTAGTGGAAGGGGTCCCTGCCCATGGCAGGAGTTGGAGCTGGATGAGCTTTCAAAACCACTCTATGACTCTATGAACATGAATCCAATGCGCACAGATGCTGCGGATCACAGGTATACACCACGTTCTGCTTAATAATCAAACTCCACTGTTAAATGAGGGTCAATTTGTTTAATAGAAATGAATTCAACTTGAGCCAGGCAGTGTCTATTACCTGCAGGCTGCCTGTCAACAACAAAGGCACCACTGCAATCTTTAATCACTTTGGTATGAACAGCTCAGGGTATCTGGAGCTCAGTGCAAGGGGTGCTTGCATTTATCTTTCAAGACTGGTATGAAATGGACACCCTGGCCTTAGGAGAGGAGAGGACAAGGTGGTAACAGGAATTCATCTGGGAAGCCTGTGATTTAAGGGAGGAGTATGGAACGCAACCTTTGCCTTTCCAAATGTGAACCAGACAATAAAGGTGCAAGTCATTTAGGTTCAGAGGACCTCACAAACCAGGGTATTATCTATCCTCCTGCTTTTACAAGTGGTTCTAATTCACAGCACTGAAAATCGCCCTGTGCCTTTACAAAGTGTTGCATTCAGCAGCAACAAGCCATCTGCTGCACATTCTCCCCAAGCAGGATGCCCTGAAGAGGTTTCTCTCTGAAGAAAGGTAATCCCCTGGATTAAACAGCACAGTTTTTAACCCTCTGCGTACCAGAATATCCTCCCTTAGTCAGCTTTGCCAGAAAAAGCAACTGTTTCAGCATGACCAGGTCAGTATTATGGGTACCACCTTGCTGAAAAGACTCAGATGAAACCCTACAGGTTATCTATGGGAGCCAGCATTAACTTTTAAAATACATCAGTGGTAAAATGAACCTTAGAAAGACTGATTTCCCAAAAGAATCCTACCACATCTCCCCAGTGTTCACTAGGGAAAGTCTCAATGAAAACACCAAGCCAGAAAGCACTTTAGGAAATACGGATTTATCACAACAATGAAATAGCACCAATGGCCTCTGCATCCTGTCCATCTGTCCCAGATTCATTCAGTCAGCCTCATAAACTGCTGTTTTAGGAGGGTGAAAAAACAACATTTTCAAAGGGCAGAGGAGAGAGGCACATTCAAGACTGGATTATCAAGAAGAATGAGGTGTTTTAAGCATGGCTTCGTGAGGTATTAGAGATTCCTACAGGAAACCCTGCACTTCGTCTCCTCAGTCTTACTCTGCATTTCAATGAGTAGCTACAAGAGATCAAAAAGTACAGGACTTACCTAGTGTCTGGCTTGAATACTTTAATGTAGGTGGTAACAGCCTCCACACAGCTCTAAAACTGATGCTCCTGCAGACAAAACAAAAGCAAAGCCATTGGTAACTAACTCTTCAGTCTCCACAGTGTAAATGCTTGTCTTTGGAATTGATTACCTGTCAAAGTCAGTTAGAAATAGTTTAAAGTATAGATCCGAGGACTCCATACTTTTATCTGCAGCTTCAGCCCCTTTTCCCATGTGACAGACACCTACTTAACTACAATAAAGCCATCAGTCACTCAGAACCCCCAACAGCCATTACCTCTTTAACTGTTGGACTTTTTCTACTGATGCATTTGTGACATACCTGTACTTAGAGCACGAGCAGCGTGGGTTTCAAGTCCTGATCATCTCTAACATTGTTAGACACAGCTTTAGCTCAGTAACACAGCGGGTCAGGGGCGCCCTGGTGCCTTCATGACAAATAAACCTCATTCTTCGAGATGTCCATAGAAATCAGCATTGCCTGCACAGCACAAGGTATTAACAGCACTGCCACCAAGCTGAGGGAGACATGTGGAGCAGCTGAAGGCCACTATGCCGTTCCTAATGCCACTCTATCTGCCTCAACATCGGTTCATGGGCTTGAAATGTAGAGCAACACCAACTCATTTTGCCAGGACAAGTTTCCATTGAGAAAACCACAGGTTCATCCTACCCACATCCCCTCGTCCTGAAGCACAGGATCATTTCAAAGCAATCCTTAGAAAGCTGCAGATGGTTTATAGGATCAGCAACCAGAAACATGGCTCTTGGGACTGGAACAGGCTTATTCAGAGGGACGAGACTACCAGTTCTGCCTCTGGTTGCTGCAGATCTTCTCTGTCCATCACTATGTAGCAGATAGTATATTTTTTCCCCCTAAGTAAGCCCTGCCTTCATACATGGGTGAAGATCACCTTTAAACTTACAACTAACTGTTTCAGACAGCAACCTAAGCTTCTGAAATGCTGACAATCAAGCTGGAAAGCAGCTACAGCACACCCAGCTTAGGGATGCACACAGCTGGAATCTGTGAGTGGAATAGAAGAAAGCAAACTCCAAATGCACTTTGGAGATTTGATTTTACCTGCTTGCCTTTCTCAAAATGAGCTCCCCAGCTAAAGGCAGCATTTGGCACATAATGAAGCAAATGAAAATACAGTGATGTGTGGGTAGAGGCTTCAAGTAGCTCCAGTGCACGATTCCAGCCCAGGCCTCATCACACTCACTCCATCAGAAGAAAAGTTGTTGTCTTACAGCATACACACTTAATGCCAAGCCAGGGACAGAACCCAGAATATACACTGAGGTATTTTTAACTCACTACGGACGGAGCAGCAGTATTCCCTCCAGTCTCTCAGCTACACCAATACAAAGTTCCACTAAGAGCAGAAAGCCTGATGGACAGCTGGAAATACCCAAACCAGCCCAAAATAAACCCCAAAGGAAAGTACTTCTTACAAAAATCAAAGGGCAAGAGAAACCCATGCGAGGTGTTTCACATCATCTCTTCCTCACCGCATCCTCCACGTGCCTTTCCGCAGCTCCTGCTGCAACCAGTGATTCCATGCTAGTGACTTGGGAATGTTTTGATCTATCCATCCAATCTCATTATTCAGCAGGCGAGATCCACTGACCCAGAACTCCACATAATACCCTGCTCAGAACTACTTGGAAGTATCTTCCCCTCCTTACTCCATGATATTCACAATGTAAATAAAAGGAGAGAAAATGAAAGGGCCGATGCAATGAAAGGAAATGGAAGCATTTAAACATCAAGATTAATGAGCATTACCCATTTCAAAACACACAAAAACTCAAAGGAAAGAAGTCCACAGAAGAGAATAAACGTTTAGGAGGCAGAAAATACATATATAAGTATGGAAATCGGAAGAAAAGCTTAAAGAATGGTGAAGATAAGGAAAGCAAAGCTACACGAACGCAAACTGAATTCAGCAACATATTAAACTGTGGTAAGTTTTGGAACACAAAGCACACTTAGGAAGTTTCCCTGTTCTTTTTGCTCATATCCAAACCAGCTCTTCCAGCTTTCCAGATCTGAATCTGATTTATCTAATATTGTCTTTTTTCCCCATACACTGCCCCATAAGTGGTGCTCACCACCTCTTCTTGCTCTCAGCAATACAATCTTTTCCTTACACAACTCTGACATCTGTTCTTCTTGATAGAAAGCCTCTGTTTCTTCTGCCTGCCCCAACCTCCTCTGACAGATGCAGAACCATTTGTATTTAACAGTTCTATTAACAGGATGGTCATCACCCTGCTCCCTGTGCTGCTAACAGAGAGAGGTATCTCTAAATGTATCCCAAGATACCCGGATTTATAACCCATCTCCACCATGCACGTGAGCTACATCACTTCTGTTATAGCACTTCAAGAAACAATTCCATCACAAACAAAGCTATGTGAAAAGGCCAAAGGTAAAACAAACTGGCTATAAATGCACTCAAGAACAGCACTGTTTTAAAGAGCTCTTTGTGAACACTCCCTCAGTTGCCTTGAAATAGTAATTTTTTACCTATTAATGGAAGCACTACTGTTTAATATTCATTCATGCATCCAAAAGTGAGTGTTCTGGTGTTGCTTGCATTTTTACATCCCAGCACAAAAGCCTTCCTGCTAAATTTTGCTATTCAGTTTGGAGCCTTTTGCTAAAGGTCCCATGAGAAACTTCACGTCCATAACGACATTCTGGTGTCACATACAAACCCTGATGTAAAGCTAACCTCATATCCAGGGAATTCATTCAAACGCATAGAGCCTTCTCCCAAGAGAAAAGAACCTTACCATGGCCAAACTACTTTGCCTTGGGAACAGGAGGTAGGCCTGCAACAGTGAGAGATTGCTAAAACCTTCATTAAGTTCTCTTCAATGGGAGGGTTTGGGGTTTTTCACAGAGCCTTTAAAGAACTGAAATCTGGGACAACACAACTTCTCTGTTGAATTCAAGCCTAAACTGCTGGAATATCCATCACTAACGACTGAAAGAGGCTGCACTGAAAGTTGGGGCAAACTTAACTACAGCGCTACAAGTGTTGTATCTCTAATAGGCTTAGCAGATTAAAACGTAGCCAGTTAAGTCTGATTGACCAACCTGTTATAAAGACTCGTGACCTTGTACCCTACACAAGAGGAGGGTTCAAACCTACCAAAGAAGGTTTCCCATGTTAGGGGTTAAAAATGTAAAGTATTAGATTCATATTTTCTATCCTCTCCCCTCAAGGAAAGGAATTCTTTTGTAAAACCCTAGGGTTTTAGTGCATTCCCTACTCTGGATTTCATTGCTCCTGTTTAATCCTTCAGCAAAAGTAAATTATTCTTTATGGCATTACAGCAGTTTATATGGCAGAGGACAAATGTCATCAACTGCACATGACTATAAAAACCCAGCATCTGCTTACTCAGCCCTTAAAATGCATGAGAAAACAGTAGCTCTGTTTCCCTGCCCCATTCTTTCACTTCATTCACTCTATATATAAACCTGTGAAGTGCTTGAGTCACTGTAACTACTCATAGCATCCAAGTCCGACAGAACAAATCATAACCCCACTACAGTGGGTGGAGTGATACCGATGCCATTTATTTCTTGCAGAGAAGAAACATCTTAAACTTCTCCAAAAGCATCATGCAGAGGTACAGCTCCATCTGTGCGAGGTGGGTTGAATTAACTGCATCCATCTCAAGAATCATATTGCTAATGACTGTACCAATGTAGTAAAAGTGTTTAAAACACAGAAGTAGTCCTGGAACAAACAGATGAGTTTATTCACACTGAACTGGGACCTACACCATTATGTCCCACCTGTAAATGAGATAAATAAAGGCTTTTAAGCATCAATAAGAGAAAAAAAAATGTTGATTTGTCTTACAGGACCAAAGGTTCAGCAGATGGGATGATCTAAAATGATCCAGTCTGGTGTTTCCCTGGGAGAAACTTCACTGCTTTCAGGTTATTCATCTCAGCCATCCAGGTCTGTAAGAGATAGCTCTCCCCCCACCAAGCACACAAATGTTCCTCTTAAAAGTTGTCAATAAAAAGAGCAAAATAAGCAGAACTTCTAAATCAGAATTTATAAAGCCAAGTTTCTAAACACGACCACCCATAAAGCCAGAGAAAGAAAAGCTGAGGTGTCTTTATACCACCAGCATCCTATGTAAGTGTCCCTGTGATGTCAAAGCCTTTCTCTCTGTTTCATAGGGGAATCAGTTTTTAGTCATCTGCAAGATTTTAGTCTAAAAATTCACCTTATTTATCAATAACACAGGAAGAAAAGGAACTTTTTCCCCTGTCTTACTTTTTCCTCATGTATCTGATCAGGTCCTCCCAGGCTAAGATGATGCATAATTCCTCAAGCAGCACCTGTAGCCTCTCAGTTACGTTGGGAACACTTTACTGCCAAAGATTTCTTCTTTTGCAAAGTTTCAAAGTTAAACATACCTACAAATCCTTCACATTAAACTGTGAGGAGGGGGAAACCTTTCCGTTCGTTTTAGCTCTGCACTCTCCTCATTGCTCAACTGCATCTCCCCAGTTTCTGTGGAGCGTGGGGAGGAGACTTCACTATTTCATCATTTCACTTCCTCACAGAAACTGCCAGGGAACATTTTAATTTCCTCCTGTGAAAAACAGAACACATTCAAAGGCTTCTTTATTAGATCATAAAGAGACCATGGCGAAACCAGAGGTCTTTTCAGGTAGGACTGAAGAGCAAAGATTCGTATCACAGAATCCTTTGTGTTGGAAGGGACCTTAAAGCTCCTCCAGCTCCAACCCCTGCCACGGGCAGGGACCCCTTCCACTGGAGCAGCTTGCTCCAAGCCCCTGCGTCCAACCTGGCCTTGAGCACTGCCAGGGATGGGGCAGCCACAGCTTCTCTGGGCACCCTGTGCCAGCGCCTCAGCACCCTCACAGGGAAGAACTTGTGCCTAAGAGCTCATCTCAGTCTCCCCTCTGGCAGGTTAAAGCCATTCCCCTTGGCCTTGTCCTTGATAAAACTGATAGAAACAAAAAATCCATATATGTAATTGTGGACATTGTTCAGTCATCATCATCCCAGATTCCTCCTCACTGGATAGTGTCAGATGTTCCATAAGGAACACCTTTCCTTCTTAAATTCCATAAAGAACATACA